GAAGAATAACAAGAATAAGCAAAATCTGATAGTTTTGTGGACTTACAAATACGGATGGACTAACATGGAGGTGGATCCACAATCTTAAATAAAGCTTGAGGGGTTATAGATGAGAATGAAGCTTCAAGTATGTCAGAGAGTAAAGTACCAGTACCTGCAGAGTTATGAGCACAAATTGATCGAATATGAGGAGAGGTATCATTACCAGAATCCTCATAAAAGAGATCTATATGAATAATATCAGATTTAGTCATGTTATGAGTAGTGGATGGAATAGAAAATAAAGGTATATGCTCAAGAAAGACAACATGACAAGACACATAAAGTTTCTGAGTTATTGGATCAAAATAACTATACCCCTTTTTACCTTCATCATAACCCAGAAAGACACAAACAGTGAATGGAGAGGATAACTTACTGTGTTCTACATGAGGATGAAGAACAAAACAAGTATAACTAAAAACTCTAAGTGAGGAATAATCAGGGATATACCCATATAACTTTTTGAAAGGAGATAGACTCGAACTATGAGAAGATAGAATTGTATTAATCAAATTTACTGTAGTAAGAACAGCTTCTCCCCAAAACTCACTAGGAACAAAAGCAGACAACAAGAGAGAACGAGCAGTTTCAACAATATGCCTATGTTTTCTTTCAGCAACACCATTTTGCTCAAGAGTATCTGTACATGAAGTTTGGTGAATGGTTCCATCTGAGGTAAACAATTGGCAAAATTTATTAGAGGTGCATTCCCCACCCAAATCACACCTAAAATATTTAATCATAGTAGAATATTGAGTTTTGATAAGAGCTCGAAAAGCTGTATATATCTCAAAGAATTCGGAACAATGTTTCATTAAATAAACCCAACAATAATGCGTGTGATCATCAATAAAAGAGACATAATATCGAGACCCTTCTTTTATGGCAACAGGAAAAGGTCCCCATACATCAAAATGAATCAAATCAAATGGTGAAGAAGAAACAAAAATACTTCGATTAAAAAGTAAAGTAGAAAATTTTGCTAGTTTACATCCACTACAATCAGAAATGTCACAAGTTTTTAAATTTTTTAAAGCTCTTGAGGATACTAAAAATCTCAAAAGAGAAGACGAAACATGACCTAGATGGGAATGCCATAAATAAAAACTAGAAGATGAAAGACTTAAACGAAAGGAAGACAAATTAACAATAGTAGTAGCAGCAACGGCAGTAGCAACTGGCACTTTTAACTCATCCAAAATATATAGTCCATTCTCCTTATGGCTTGTCCCAATCAGCTTCTGAGACTGCAGATCCTGTACACAACAAAAAGAACCCGAAAACATGACTAAATAATTACTAGAATCATATATTTGACCAATAAACACAAAATTCAATTTGAGTTTTGGAATAAGATAAACATTAGGGAGAGACAAGTGAGGCATGACAACAGAACCAACACCTGTTAAGAGCATAGGAGTACCATCAGCAATCATAACAGGAATGGAGGACAAAGGGGACACAGAGGTAAAAGATGAGGAATCTAGAGACATATGATAAGAAGCACCAGAATTCAAGACCCATTCAGAGTGTGACATACCTGAGGAATTATGAGACAACTAACCTATGGAAGAAGAAGCGGACATTGCTTGTGGCAGCAAGAAGAGAAACTTCTGAAAGTGCTTAGCTAAAGTATTGGGATCAGTAATAGAGCCTATGGAAGTTACTGCTGCAATATTATGGTATGATGGTTTATAACCCTGAGGTGGTCTAT